CGCTAACCAGGGCACTGTGCAATGCAAACAGCTCCATTTATAGGAGCTCGGCAGGGCAGGAGGGGAGTGTCGCTCATGTGTGAATTTGCAAAAGGAACAAGCCATGTAAATTCACTTCATGTGAGTGGTGGGGGCAGGATTTTCAACTGTCTTGTATTCATGTCTGATTTATAAGAATGGAGCCGCAAGATGGTGCAGAGGACACCATATGTGCTGCCGCTAGATACGAGTAGCTAAACCATTCACTCATTTTCTAGAAGGTTTTTAACAGCAGTTTGAAGAGCCCAGCCTGTTTTCTTTTTCTAGTTCATTTTTTTCCCTGTCCCATAAAAATACAATTGAATTACCCAGTATTTCCTTCTGCAGGAGTTAACTGAGCAGATGCCTTGTAATTCCTTTCACACTGAGCCAGAAGAATACAGCAAACTAACTAACAAGACCTATAGTGCTGGAAAGGAACCCTGGTAACAATAAAAACAATGAGGAGTCCTTGTGGCACCTTAGAGACTAACAAATTTATTTGGGCATAAGCTTTCGTGGTATAAAACCCACTTCATCAGATGCAGCTAATGCCCAAATAAATTTGATAGTCTCTAAGGTGCCCCAAGGACTCCTCGTTGTTTTTGCTGATACAGACTAACACGGCTACCACTCTGAAACCTGGTAACAATGACACTACTGCACATGTTCACACTGTGTTCCTGGCCAGCATACTCAGCCCCACACACTGAAGTGTGTTTCAGAACCTCACTCTGTGTCCATCGTGGGTGAAAAAGGGATCTGGGCAGAAACTAGAACGGGGAGAGATTTTGAATCACTGGGAGTCTCTTGTATTGCAGACCTTAAACACCACTGGTCCCACTGATGCGCCTGGTGTGTCTTTTGGCTGGAAGGGAGGATATAAAAACTTCTCAGCAGAGGCTGTTTATGGCATTTTAAATACTTTGATGTTGAACTTTAATCTAGATCATTGAATTCTATGTGGGAATAAGGCCATCGTAGCCCCATGCTGTTCCAAAGGCTTGGTTAATGCAGTGTTAGAGGAAATTTTGCACATGTATAATAATGTATGGTGCACATTTTGGTGTACGTGTAAATACAATGAAAATCGCCAGAGTGGCTTTTATTGTAAAGTGCAATAGTAGAAACCCACCGTTCTAATTTTATTTCTTATTTATTCTGTGCTAAAGATTTTCTGCTCTACTCTTTATACTGTTTGCTTCCTAAGCAACATGATCATGGCTTTTCTGTTGCCAGCATTCCCTTCTCTGGCTTGTGAAGAGAGAACCTCTCTCTCTACTTCTTATGATAATAACTAGCTTCTGTTGAAGGGCTTGATCCAAATAGACTGGCTGCACCTTGATTACCTTTCCTCAGCAAGGCCCTCCCAGCTGGGGTACAGAAAGTGTGGTGGGGATTTACTGCCTGCCAAACCCTAAATACCCCCAAACCAACCTGCAACAAAACCAAACCGTGCTGTGGCTGATGATGCAGCAGGGCCCTTTCCTATGGGAATGGTGGGGATGGGTTGCTCCAGATTTGCATCAGCTCCTGTAAGGGGCACCAAATTGATTGTCCTCCATCACGATGTCATCTTTACCTCCATGGAGCCCTATTCTGCAAAGAACAGCCCAGCTAGACAAATTTGGCTTAAGGCATCTTTTCTGTAACTACAATGAAGTGAGTAGAGTTGCCTCAGGAATGATTTGATCTATATTGTGCCAGAGGTTTTGATCTTTATTGTGTGACTTCCTTTTGTTTGCACTAAGCAACTGTCCAGCGCCTGCCTGGGCCTTTAGATTATGTGGAAATGGCTGCTGGTGAGGGTACAGGAGAGATGAGGGTAATTACAGCTCCAGCTCTGAGGAATCCCATAGGCCATAATTTCCAGAGGGGAGAATGAGGGGTGAGAGATTGTGAGAGTGAAATCAGGGGAGACAAAGGAGCAGCAAACTATGTCGGACAGGGAGGGTTTTGCATTGTCCTGTGTCACTGGGACAGGCCAGTCATTGTACAGCTCTGCAGTGATATTCTCCAGCATCATCAGCTTCCACACTGCTGACAGTGAGAGTGTAATCAGTGTGTCCATTGCCAGCCCCACTAGAACTGAACCAGGCTGGGAGCCGAGAGGCCAGGGTAAGAGCACTATGAATGAGAAGCTCCGGAGCTTGTCCTGGTTGCTTATGGCATGAGGCTAAGTTGTTGCTGGGCTCACCCTGGCTTTGATAGTGGCTGTGTCCCCTGGAAACACTGACAGGGTTCTGGAGTCTGAGTCAGCACTTTCTGCCCATTGGAATCTAGATATAGAGAAAAGAGAGGCAGAGATAGGACTGGGGTAAGCAGGATGATGGCATCACAATTATTCAAAACTTTACACAGAAACACAGTGTAAATTTCAGTTGAAGATTGGAAATTAACTTACAATACAATAGATTTAATACATCAATGCAACAATTCTTACATTTGTATTATTTCTCACCTTGAAAGCAGAAATCAACCAGCATCCAGGGAAGAGGAGTGTCTGACACCATCTTGATTGTCTGTTATTAGAAATGCTTGT